GACAAGGGCTTTCAGACCCCCACTAAAGTAACACTAGATTCATGCCAGAATGACAAGGACTGAATCTCTTCCTAACCCACAACTGACTTTTAAAACATTGGAGCATTTCCCTGGCCTAGTCACCAGAATTTTAACCTGTTAAACAAAATGGAAATGTGAATTCAAAACAGCCCTGTACAGTTCCCTGTGTAAAAGCTGCATTCTTTCCTCAGAAGGTTTTTCATGAGTAAGTATAAGGAGAAACCCACAGCTGCGTGGAGAGCTACTAGTACCTGCTGGGAGAGAAAAGCTATCACTTTATTACTCAATGTCTGCTGAGTAGCTGCAAAAAATACTATCAGCCAAGGTCTTTAGCAGCAGTAGATCACATCATGCTTGACAGCGACTGAAGTAACTTTTAGTGAACATTCCGACTAAAGGAACCCTCACGGCATTTTGTGGCTGAGACTTTCTGTCTGCAAAACCCTAATCTTGTCTGGATGTTACCCAGAACGCATCACTTATTCAACATCATAGGGTATTTTCATTTCAGTAGGACTGCTCATTTCACCTTAATCAGATGCTAACTCACTCTGGAGGGAGGAAAGGGAAAGTTAGGACACTTTCACTCTGAAGTGCTTGTTTCCTCACGATGCACAGGTAACTCCCTGCCTAGGAATTCTCCCTCATTATCCTCAGTCCATATTTACTTCAAAAAACATGCTCTGTGTAAACGCCCACACAAACCGGTGTTCCTATTTGCTCCACATTTATGCTACTCTCAGTGCATCACTCAGTACAGTTCCTGGCTTTCACCAAGCCAAACTCCAGCTACAACACCATGGACTGGTTTTATGTTTCTCCAATTTTCCAGACACATGCTAGCTTTTTCTACAACTAAGATTGTGATAGTCATTTGGGCATAAGGCCCCTACTGTAATATTGTTAACTAACAAATACCTTTTTCTAGGATATCTTTAACATAATTTTGCAGTTTTTACCTCTCATTCTGCTTGTAAAAGGTACTTGATAGAAAAAATGAGATAAATGTAGGGTCAGCCATGCAGTCCTGGAGAAGCAAATATAGCTAACGACATACTAGAGTCACCAAGTGATCACATTAATTATTGCCCCAATAAATATGATTGGCCTGAACATGTCTTATCCCATAATAACTTGTGAAAACAGACATGATATATAAGGTATTGAAAGAAGCCCATCAGATCTGTTTAGTTTTGTCATCAACTAACCACAAAAAAAAAAAAAAAAAAAAAAAAAAAAAAAACACTCTTGCAAAATACGGAGAAGCCTGAACTAATTCCCAGGGCTCTAAACACTCCCTAATTCTGGAGACATTCAAATTGAGAATTATAGCTGTTTTTGCTACCTCCAAGACATAAATCTTTCTATGTCAATTAGAAACACGTGCTTTTCTATGTGTGGCTGCTGCCTTTGGGTCTCATGGACATTTCAGTCGTTTTGTGCTTGACCTGAATTGAGATGGTCCCATGGGCTGGGGTGAACTCCAGTGAGGTCACCCATCCCTTCTGCCTTTCAACCCTCTCCCCAGAAATGCCATCAACTGCAAAACATCTTCTCAGGGCTTCCAATTACACAGCACACAAGAAAACATCCTAGTGCCTGTTGGTCCTTTCTGTGAGTAAGTGTATGAGACTGGCAGGTCACATATAGGCCCATGCGTCCCCTTCCACCAACAGAGGAAATCTAGGAGTGTTTAAGAGAGTATTGCAGGATACGAGAGGACACTTTTCCTGGAAGCTTGCATCTTACCTTTGAAGGCTTAGAAGTAACTTTTGGTCAATACAGAGAATGATTGGATTTGATAAGATAGTTGGAAGGTGAGGAGAGTGTTAAATAGAGGGAATTCAGCTGTACCTGACTGCCCTGTAGGCACAGATATCTTCTTTATGAGATTCCAGTACATCAATTTTATTTCAGTTCACAGATTCAACTTTTTTATTATTATTATTTTATTTTTTCTCCCTTCAATAAATTCAGGAGGCTTTGTTGTGCTCAAATGTGTCCAAAATATAATAAAACTAAAATTGACCATTGCTGTGCTCCCAAAACATAGTACTTCAGCTACACACATTTTATTAGATGGTATCTTATCTTATTCCCCATTTACTTCTCCTCTGAGTCACCCTTTGCTGCTCCAGGGAGACTTCTCAATATTCCTGCTCATGAAGTGATGTCCTGTGCTAAGGGAACTACTCCCACAGTCAGTATCCAATGAAGACCATAGACTCTGTCTGCACCTATTGACTTCTGTCTTGACAAGATCATTCCCCCTTAATCCAAGTCACGTTTGAATCGTACCTTAGAAGGCAAATATTCATGCCAGAGACAAGCACTTCCCACAGGCACTAGAAGCAGCCTGCCTGTATGCTCATAAAATAAGCATCTTTGAAACAGCCCTTTGTACCATGATAGGCTTGAAGTTCAGATGCAGAGTTAACACAATATGACGACTATGCAGATACAGATCATCATCTGAAGGAGAACCAGGATATTTTTCTGCTTAAATTGTACCATTTCCACTCTGATATGGAGTTAAAAGCCAGAGGCAGACATCATCATCATTTTTTCTTAATTTTCAACCCATTTGGGGAACTTTATGTGCATAGATGTGGTTAACCACAAGGCTCCTATCAGCAGAGGTTACATTTCAGAAGGTAGTGTCTGGGGTGCTGTTCCAGCTACCCTGTACAGGACACGGTGTCTATAGTGTGCCCTCGCTGACCCTTGGAGCAGGCACTTTGTTTTACCCAAAAGCAAACCTGGGAGGCTGGTCCACGATATGCATGAAGCAAGCACTGCTGGGGGTTTACCTCGAAAGCAGACTCTGGACGGAAAGAGCCAGACACACCTGTAAGACTTGGAGAAGGCAATACTTTTCTCGAGTTGTTATATGGTAAGGCAACAATAAGATCTGTGCAGGCTGAAATCACATGTGGTCATGGTGGTAAACGAGCAGAAGTGTTTATCACCCTGTGTTAAGCTGTGGAGGAATGCGCACCTCATGTACATCCACCAGAGGCTGGGAGCAGCAGGTAGAAAAACTCAACACCCACTTCTTTTGTGAGTTAAAAAACGCCATGGGTTTGCTCTGCTGTGCTCCATATCAAGATCTCAGTGCACCAGACTTAGCTTACTTGTCTGGCTTCAGTGCTGGAATGAGCCCCAATCTTTCACAATGACACCCTACTGGTTTGCTGATACATAAAAATACTGCACACATCTCAAGGACAGCCTTGAAAGGCTGAGAAACAGCAGGGAGCAAAGCGCTGCTTGGGGGCTGCCACATGGGTGGGTGCCTGTCTCTCTGTGTCCCACATACACCCTGCAGCAGCAAAAGGAGGGAGATGAATGAGCAAGCTTAGCTGTCCAGTCCTCTGGCAGAGCCTCTTGCTACAGCCCATCACCTCCCAAGTGCTTCTGTGCCACAGGATTATTCCCATGAAGCCAGAGGCCGTTTGTTTGGTTTTAGGGTTTGGTAGCTTGGCCCACACCCTTGCATCTGAAAAGGCTTACCAACAATTCCACCTTCGCCTTTTTCCTGCTCTTTTGAACCATTCTGTGATGAGTAGTGCACAGAAAACGTGTCTCTGTTTCTTAAGGTTCAACATGATCTGTTCCCCAAGTCCCCGTGCTTTCTCTTCATATTTAGCCAGAAAATAAATCATTGTAAAGGCAGAGGACCAGAATTTCTAGGGAAAATACTGATTCTTAATAATAAAGCTTTGGTTATCTGCCAGTCTTTCCAACAACCAGAATAGGAATGTAAAGCTATAAAACCACAAAGGTTTCCACAGGGCACAATTTAAAAGATTTGCTAAAGACCAACACAGCTCTGTAATGACCTGCCTAAATAATTGCCAGTTCGTAGTTTAACACCTTCCCATCAAATGATTAATTCAATAAGACATTTCTTTAAAGTAGCAAATCAATATTTTACTGTATAGTTTCTGCCAAGCCAACTTGTCTAACCATCCTGGGACTCTCCTAAGTAACACAGCAGCTTGAACTTCATGCTATGCTTGCAGTAACCTTTCAGCTGTCTTTAATAATGTATATGCTTTTTACAATAGCTGGGGCTGAACTGGGTTTGAAAAGAAGGTGTGAACAGCCAGGAAAGTTCAGCCAAAGTGGATATGAACAGGCTTGAAAAAGGAGAGTTTGTTTTCCGACCATACCTGGCCACGTACTGAAAGAAGGGAGAGAGGTTAGCTGAGTACAGGGAGCTTTCACCAAACTGTCTGTCAAATTGTATTGTAAACAGCTTCCAGTGCAACCAGGCTTAAATTGTACCATTTCTACTTTGATATGGAGTTAAAAGCCAGAGGTAGGCATCATCATCATTTTTTCTTAATTTTCAACCCATTTGGGGAACTTTATGTGTATAGGTACTTAGTGCACTGCACCAAAATAGATTTGTATCTGAGAAGATACGGAGAACAGATTTAATATCTCTCCATTCAGCAGCTGAAGACATTAAATAGAGGACACATCAGAGAAAGAACTGTTGGTTCTATTTATTCTGTTTTGATGACTGCTCAGATCACCTCAATGTTTTTTGCAAATATCTCTTAATGCAACTATCAGTCATAATCCTGTTAGACAAGTACACATAGAAGGATCAAACTGAATTCAAATTTTAAAAAAATAGTTTTTGAAGGGTTATTTTTGCTTGGAGCAGTAGAGAACTGGAGCCATTATTCTGAAGTGTTTATGGAGCCTAGGCCGTGTCTGAATTTGTTTTATAAGACTTTCAACTCCCTAGATAAAAGCAAACTGTAAATTAATATAAACAAACGAAAAGAAGACTGACAGTGAGATTCTACACAAACAGGGAAAATCCGTACTTATGTCAAAGTTTTCTGTCACTCATGTTTTACGAGAGCGTCAAGGCTGGAAATCGCATCTCAGAACTCTTAGAACTGTAATCTGGGTGAGGAATTTTATGTTAAACAAGGCAAGCAAGGGAACACATTTAAAAATCCAACATATTAATAGTCTGTTTATTAAAGAAAAGGCTCTTCTACTGTATGCAGGTTACAAGAAAGATTAAAAGAAAACAGATGAAACATAAGTAACACAGATCCTTGCAGAGATATACTCCTGCTGAAATCTTATCGGGCCTTTATACCTTTCTACACATCTCCTGTAAGGCAAATGAAGACATTAACCATAATTTCTCTGCGTCTCACACACTCTCTCCCAGACATACAAAAGTTAAAGGAAACGACATGGAGCCATTAGGCACAAACCAAATTCCAGAGTCAGCAATGGTCCACACAGTGATGTGGTTTTACGAGTCTTGACAGTGGGAGAAGTGAGATTCAGCTCTGCACCTATGAACTACCAGCCCTGGTAGATGGGAGAGCTCCTGGTTATCCTGTCATCACCACTGGTGTTACCTTCAGACAACATGCTTATAGCCTCATCAGTCTGCTGGCTGTCAGTTGTCGATAACTTCTTTGGATCATGGAGGTTGGTTTGGTAGTTCACAGGTGAGGGATAGGCATTTTCACCCACGGTTGACGAGGACATGGATTCCCAGGGTATTTCTCTCTTCTGCCATTTCAGGTCCACTCTGCATCCCGTCCAGCCATAGAAAGCCAATGTGAAGAGGAAGCCTTGCATGGGATTAAGAATCCCCTAGGAGAGAGCCGTGCAACAGGAGGTACATCAGCAAGGCTTCATTTTGAACTCCAGCAAAACATTAGGCACACGTTAACGACTTCCCTTACTCTGAACAACTGCTGTCTTTAAAAGATGCTATTTGCATGCAAATAAGTGCACGTTGTTCCCACTACAGACACAAAGCAGGGTGAGACACCACAACCTGTTGTTTCAGTATGCTGAGGCCATCCCAGTGAACAGTAGGAGCCAAATGGGTTTCTAGCATGAATTTTAGCTGGTCAGTCCCCCAGTGTGTTTTTAACATTCCTCACAAGCTCTACACTTTTTAATTCACAAAAGCAAATATTGCATTTTTCGCTAGAAGCCAAGTCAAATATATGAGTAGACATTAGCACATACAGGCAAGATTTTTAAAATAGCAGCAGTTGATCTGTCTGGAATGGCTGCAGATTTCTGAGCCAGTGAAAATGTCCATCAAAGTGGAATGGAAAAACAGGGAGAGACACTGAAAAAGAAAATCCCCACTGATTTCCAAAAACTTGTCTGTTCCCATTGCCTTGGGATGCTTGACAAATAAATGGTTTTAGCGGTTTCCATTCTTCTCACGGGAAAATTGCAAACTTAGTTTACGGACAGTTTAAATACAGCTCAGTTGCTAGACCTGACCTTGTGCCCTCCAGGTGAGCGAGAGAAAGGTCCTTGTCATACAAAAGTGTCCGTCCTTGTCAGAGGAGGAGGTTGCATCAAATCAGTTGCATTGCTTAGCTCTTTAACACCAAGCAGCTGAAGGGCTTAACTGCACAAAGCATGCTTACAACTCACAGGTATTTAACAGCTTCAGAATAAACTTTCTTGAAAAAGGAACCATCAGTAACACCTCTGTAAAATCCCTTGTCAAATATTCCAGTAGAAGGATAAAAAAGAGTGGGGTACCATAAGAGCCCAGTATCTTATAGCTATCTTCTTGTGCTTTGCTTTTAAGAACTATCATGTATTTTTCCTCTTATAGCTATCCAAATGTTATGATATAAGATGTAATTATTCTTTATAAGCCACTAATAAAGAAAGCTCTAGTTACACACACACAATTAGAAGAAAATATCTGTTTTAGAGGGTAACCTTCAGGAATCGTGAGCTAAAACTTTGCAGCTTGCTCTGGATCAAAACTTTGCAGTCTGCTCCGGATCTTAAAAATGGATAGGAATCACTCACAAAGAGACTGAATATGCTAGTAAATGGGAGAAAATGTTGGTCTTTAGTACCGTTTTGGTAGAGTTTACATGTGAGGAGCACTCCCAGGGGCTGCTCCTTCCTCACTCTTACCTTTGGTTTTTCTTCCTTGATTTCTGGAGTGCTTACATTCCCCTTAGTCATAACCTACCCATCACACTGTTGCTGCTCCACCAGTCTTACACAAGCAATTTCTAACTCTAAGAAATGCCATGACCTACCATGATAATCCATGTGATCAGTGCGGCGCTTCTGATGTTTTTCAGAGGCATTTCATTGATATCTGGCTGCATCTCAAGATAGAACAAAAGGCTCTCATTGACGATATTAGATGACCAGCTATTGCGGAAATAAAGAAGAGGAAGAGAACAAGACAGATATATATGTATATGTATGCATATGTAAAATATGATTTATTTCAAATTATAGAGATTAGGAACACCAATAAGGAGAGTGAGTTTTTTAAAATGTCTCCATATGAAGGGGCCCATAGCCTTCTGAGAACATAATCAAAAAACAGACATCTACAGACATCTAACCCAGGCCTAGACAAAGAAATCAATATACCCAGACAAAATTAAACTTGAAGATTTGATCTTGCTGCAGGATAAAACTGAGATTATAAACAACTGTGAACCATAATGGGAACATCACAAATGGCGCCTTCTTTTGCTTGCATCTTAAAAGCACAATACTCACAGATCGGGAACCCAAATATATTCATATATGCTGTAAAAGGCTGCAGAAACTCCAGCCTCCCTAAATTTTCATGGTTAGATTTGAGCAGATTTTCAAAATGTTTGTAAAAAAATCTACAAATCAAAACTAAGCTTGACTTTAAAATCCTTGAAAATGCCATCACATTTTTGGAATAAAGGCAATTTCTGTTTATAAAGAAGGATGAGCATAACTAAGCCACATCCTGTGAAAGGAACTGAGAACGTTATACACTAAATAAAGGTTATAGTAAATAGTTGCAACTTTGTATGACTTCTAAGCAGTCAGAACAGCCTTTCTTTGTATTTCTACTGCAGCTTCAGAAAGGAAACCACCAATGTCCACGTCATAATTTCTATAGAGGTTTATAAGCATCCTTCTTGCAACTATATTTTTTCTCAGTGTAGAACCTTCTGCTCATGCCTTCCAAATCTGCAGGCATCTCTTCTACCCCATGCTGCTACAATTTGTTTTCCTTGACAGACTTATCTCCTTTTTGACCTCTGGGATAGAACAGCATCTCCCCTAAGCTTCTGAGATGGGACTGAAAAAGTTTTTACACTCTTTTATACTACTGAAAGTTTTTAGAGTTTTTACACTCTAAAGCTTATGTTTTATCAGAAGAAAATCCAAAACGAGAACCATTTTTTTTTAATAGCAAAACTCATAATGAGACAAAGACAAATAAACAGATGTCCCCACTGTGTCCTTGTGGATTTGCTCCCTTCTTTCATGCTTGTTCCCATACCATCAAGCTGGCCACAATCCCTTAGGTTGTAATAAACTTCTCTGGTGCCTCCAGGCTCCAGAATAAGGCTCTTTCTTTCCATAACCCTAGAAGCCTGGCTAAATCCTTGGTATTTCCAGCAATTTCCAAGAAGCCATGCTGCAATCTGCTGCCTCTCTCCCCCTCTCCTGCTGCCTAAACCACCCTTTGCACTAGAAACCTCTCTACTGAGCCAAGCAGGCTCTGCTATTCCCAAAGAAAAGACAATAGTTTCCCTCCAGAGCACTCCAGTATACAGCAGCTAGGGTGAGATAAAAAGGCAGCCTTCCTCCCTGCTCAGACTTTTAAGGCAATATAATATGAATTAATTACCTGTTTTTTGTGTTTTGTTTTTTTTTTTTTTTTGGTTTGTTTGTTTATTTTAATATATATATATATATATATATATATATATATAAGTATTTGTACAGACCATTAACTTTGGCCAAGTCTCTTCACTACTCCTAGACTACTTCCTCCCTCTTGTGTTGTTACCCACACAGGTGGTGAACGCTTCCCAGTAGTGACCACGTCTTGCTAGGTCACTGCACAGACCTCTGTATGGATCACCCCCTCTTCTGGTGCCTTTAGTGGTGTGTGACAATTGTGAGACTGCAGTAAAAACTGTCTCCTCCTAAAGCAGGCCTTCTTTCATCCTAGATTTGTTGCGTGCATCCAACACCTTCAGTCCCAGCCACCATTCAGCATCTTTCACACTGGATGGCACTGCTGGAGCAGAGGTGCAGGAGATTTGGGGATGAGGTGTGTACCCTCCCTCCTTCCCCTCCTGCCCTGCCCCCTCCCTGTCCTACCCCAAACTTCTATTTGCATAGAGGAAGATGGAATATTAGAAACAAGATTAGATAATCAGAAGATTTCTAATTTGGGCATGTAACCCTGTATTTCTAGCTAACACACAATACCTGTTTCACACATTTGAGATCTGCAGACCGTAGAGATGATGCGTTATATCATCCTAACCAGGGCATGAAGCCAGTGGTAGAAGCATATTTATTGTAGGCTTTCAATGGCATGTTTGATGACAAGAGAGAAGACTGGGCTCTGAGGAATATTTCTATTGTTTTAGACAGCTTTAGGTTGTACCCAGCCACTTTTTTTTTTTTTTAGTGTTGTTGCTATTGTTTCTTAGTGTCATTGTTTTCCTCTAGATTAAACATTTTTATCATTTCCTTGCAGCCTTGTGATGCTGTGTGAGTGATTCAGCTTGTCTGTGAACTAGTTTAGAACTACGTCTTCCTTAGAAACCTTCCCTTCCAACCATAAAGGCAAACAAATGAAGCAACACATCAGTCTCTATTCTTGTCCCCATCACTCTCCAGCTAGGAAAAAAGCAGTTTAAAACAAAATAATGCACCTCTTACCAAACAATGAATACCAGCATAATTTTGAAAAAGCGCATCTGGATCTCTGTCCCCAGACGTCTCTCATTCTCCGTGTAAATCCCTTGTCTGCCTTTCAGTAAAGAGGCAACTGGAAAGTATAAAATTGTGTTCATTAAAATATGTGCATCTCATTATTTGAACACAAAGATCCAGAAGACAGATGTCTGTAAAGAGGGAACAAAGGAACTGATGGATTTGTCTCCAGCAGCAGTTCGGATGCTAGAAAGACCACCATCAGGTAATCTCACACACAGCCTAATACTAAAGGAAAAGAAGCACATGCATTAAGGATTCCTAAAATAGGTGGCATTCCACTAGCTGTTCTTTCTTCTCTCAATACCATTGAAGAAAAGAGCATGGTCAGCATACTCTTCTTTTATAATAAAACGGTAGTATTTACAACTTCTATATGATGTGTGTGATCTAATGTATTTATTACATGATGTTTGGACCAAAACTGAATACATTCTACCCTATTATACACTTTATATTTAATTGTGCAATTAATACAGCATACACTTTAACACTTGAAGCTGTAATGCAACAAAAATAGTTATGCAACATACTGTTCAGATATCACAAGGAATATACAAATGCATAAAGATACTCATTGTATATTTTCCCATAAAAAGAATAGGCTTTGAGAGATTATCCAACTCATTCCCTGCCCCTGAGCATTACAGTTACATCTAGGTGTGGCTGTTAGCTGACTCTGCAAGCTTGATGAAAAATCAGGAACACTCAAAGACCACTTCAGCCAAGTTATTCCAGTGCTTCATTTGTCTTTACCATAATAATTTATTGCCTGACTTCCTACTTACACAACCTTTTCTTTAAGATCAAGCTCAATGCTCTTTTACTATCCTCTACAGTCAAGGAGAAATTCTGTTTTTAGGAACAATTAAATTCTCACTTGATTACAGTCTACAGATCTCATTATGCAGACTTTCATGTGTTTGTTTTTTTCCTTGTTATCTTTCTGTATTACTTCTGTTAGACAACAGAGAAACTACAGGTTGTTAGTATAAATTTTTGTTCACTTCAGAGCAAGGAAACACAAGGCATCATCTTTAGCAACATATATTTCTGAAGGTAAGAAGCAAAAGTTGAGCCTTAGTGCCTACAGAACTCTACGTACAGGTAGCAGAGGTAATACAGGCACAGATATTAAAGTATCTGTACAACTAGATACTTTAGCCATAGAATTTGTCACAGGTGTATGAGCACACACACATACATACCTACATAAAGCACACATGGATGCACTCACACAGATGCATATCACATACAAGCATAATGATCCTTTATTATGTTCTCATCAAAGACCTTTGCTGCCGACTGTAGAAAATGTATTCCCCTCTCTTCCATAGGACATGCTATGGAAGGGAAGTTTATCATTTACCAAACAGATGATTTCAATACAATCAAAAAAAAAATAAAAATCTGTGCCTTCAAACCACACAAATACAGCAGTTAATGCAGCACATAGGTGTCAATTTATGAGTGCTATCTCAGAAATTCAATTCTTGGTACTGTTCACAAGAATGAGATAATACAATGATGCATATATGGATTGTCTTTGGTACCAAAGGTACAGCACTCTGGGTTTTTCAGATAAGTGAAATACAGGAGGTTCCTTGATACAGGTAATTAGATGTATTTCTGATGTGTAACTGATACAGCATTGTCTACACCTACAAAAATTGAAAGTGTTATGTCAGCAAAAAGAGACAGACGCATTGTATGTGTAATATTTAAATAAAGTGTTCCACAGATTCTGACAACTTTTCCTTTGATAGTAAGCATTGCAGAGAATACAGGGTAGATGGGATGAAGACTTAACTCAGAATAGTAAGTCTCTGTTGCTGTTTTTATATACTGAATTGCATAGATGATGAATTCAGGTACTGAAAACATCTAGCGCAGATCACATTACATGAGTACAAGTCACTGAATCTGAACATTACCTTTAAAAAATAATAAACTGTATTCCAAAATCTAGGTTGGTACCAATACTACAGTAGCATTAAATATCCACAATACATTACCAGAATACTTTAAATAAAGAGTATTGCAGTAACATAGCAGTACCTTTGCCAATCTGCAACAGCAGAGGTAACTAACAGCATAGCTTCAGTATGTGATCAGAGTGTGTCTCTAGGGCAAATTTCCCACTGAGATGGTATCTTCATTTTAGTAGGCAATTCCTTCCCACCCTTGGCCGTACTTTTTGTGATTTAATGAGGAGCTATCCCACATCACTGTAAAAAGGAGCTATCCCACATCATATGCAAGAAGTCATACAAGCATGACTTTTTACATTATTACTATTTGGCTAAATAACACACTGATTCACACTGGCCATTAGGAACATACCTGCAGATACTGTCCTTCTAAACAGGATCGGGTTGACCACCAGCACCAGCAGGAGTGGGGCGTAGGTTGTGATGTAATGGGGAATTGCATGCTCCAGGCCTTTTTCACAACTGAGAAGAAATCATTAACAGGTTATTCATTATTTTCTTCCCACATCTGACAGTTTAGGCTATTTCATCTATGTCACCTTTAGCTTAAAAAAAGATAAAAGGAATGAAATGAACAGATGCTAAAATTTTCTAGGATTGCACCGACTCAGCAGGAGACAGTTCTCCAAGATCAAAAAAAAACCCTGTGGTTGGAACTCTGTCTCCAGTGCTGACCAAAAGACACCCAAGTGCCCACAGGTCACTGTGGCTTTGGAGCCTGCCCCTGGGGGCCCGCTCACCTGGACAGGGACGGGTAGTAAAGCAGCGCCACTCCCTCCACGCAGAGCAGGACCTGCCAGGCCCCAGGCCATCATGTGGTACAGCACGATCGTACTGGAGGATCAAGCAGGACATTCGTCATCTTTAAAGACACCAAACCTCACCCTTCCCACATGGCAACGTGGAGATGGGACTCTTACAGGCACGAGATGAACAGCACTGGCAGTACCTCACACCTAAAAGAGCAGGAGGCCCTCCTGACAGGAGAAAGTCACAGCAGTACCACATCCTCCAGCCTGTGGGGTGGGAAGCCTCTCCCCCATCCCCACACCTCCAGAAGGATCCCCTGCACCCTTTGTTGCTCCTGAGGAAAGCACTTTAGGGGATAAAAAATTGAGGAAGGGAGCCAAAGAGCCAACTAAGCCACTCTTCTGGAGGTTGCAGAGCATTTTGTATAGCTCTGATGAGAGTCCGACACTGCTCCCATCCTACAGAAGTGCAGATTTCTGTGCATAAGCGTCTTTCATCTTTTACTCTGATCTTAGCATCAGGCCCAAATACACATTTTATTTCATTTTTTTTGGTTAACAGGCATGGGGGAAGGAGGTAGGTCCCAGCTGTTTCAAACTACAAGTATGGGGCTTTACAAAACCAGGTTTGTCCTCTGCAGGCCGAAGTTAACACAAAAACCTCCATTTTGATAACATGCACCGGATGAACCATGCCTGCAGTACCTTCTTACTCAGTATCATCTGGATATAATGTCACAGAACTCCCCATTTAGCAGTGGCAACTGAAGGTCATTTTGCCCTTCTCATAACCAAATTAGAAACACCTTATATTTTCTGTCTGGCGTTACAGTATGGAAATTTCTGAAGTGTATAGGTTCTTCTAATAAAGGCATTGCAGAAAAATGTGTAGTAAGCACATATTTTTCCTCCTTAAAACTTTACAAATGTGATCAGAAGTGTAATAATGACAATAGAGGGGAAAAAAAAAAAAAGAGAGAGAGAAAATCTGAGAAAAGAAAAACAAACTGGAAAATGAACTGTATGAAATTCAGCATGTCCCCTCTCCCACTATTTTTATTCAAGTTAAAACTTTTCCCACGAGGATCAATTTCAGGTATAGAGAAGGGACAAAAATAGCATCTTGCTGCAATACATGTTATAAAGCCTGATCTGCACCTTATTTTTCTGAAGGTTAAATGAAGTCAGTTACTTTTAAATGCCAGTTGGGCATAAACAAATCAATATCTGAGCATTGCCCTGACAATTTAAGCACTTAGCACACCACCCACCCATATCATTATCTGGTAACCATGTGAACATCAGATGTTTGTACAGGTTTCATTTATACCCTTAGATAGCTGCATGCAAACACGGACCTTGTTGGAAGTTAAATAACAAATTCAGAGCTTTAACTGTGGTACCTCAGTCCTGCTGATCTTCTTACCACCAAGTAAGAATCGACAGCATAGCAAAACAACCACCAGAAGCCCGCACTATATAACAGCTGGATCCACATCTGCAGGGAAAAAAATGGCAAACGTCACAGCTGCTTATCAAGTGCCACTGCAGGTGGGGGGTAGGCAGACTCAAACCTTTCTCCCTTGTACATTAAAGGTGTGTATTTTCCAAATGAGTTTTGTGAAGTATAAAATCTTACTCAAAATCCCAGGAACAGCATTGTTGTAGCCAAGGCATCAAGTCATAGGTAAACTGAGAAGCATTTGCCTTTGCAGCTGAGTCTATTTTTTCACAAAACCTGTTATTTCCCTCTCCAACCTTAGCCTTTAATGTCATGAATGAAGTCCAAAATAAATTCTTAAATAACAAATTTAGAGTGAAATTCAAATTTCATCAATACATTTTTTTTTTTTTTGTACTGCATTTTAGTAAAATTTAGTTGCTCAGTAGCTGAGGCATGAAAATACAACTGAAGACAGCTGTTACCAGTGTGCCTTTGCTTGGTGGGTTCTGTGTGTGATGGGTATTTTCTCCATGTTCAGGAACTTATGACTCTATGACTCCATAACTTAAGTCAGGAACAGTTACTACGAATAAAGATGATACACAACAAAAATACCCAGCAACTCACCCTCTGGAAAAATTCTCCATACTTAACTCCTTAACTAATTTCTTCAGTAAAAGTCCAAGTGAGACAAGTTCAAGTCAAGTTAAATTCCGCTGCATTTGTGAGCTGACCCTATACATTTTTTCCCATGAGCCTATAGAAGATAACTGACCTTTCTTTGCCTCTGTTTATAAATTCCAAATCTCTTCCCCATAGGAGCTGGCTCTCTGTAAGGGTCTGGAACTATTTTAATATTCAGATTACCTTCCCTCTGCGCCCTACTTTCAGCTCTTATCTGAATATCCTTTGCCACAGCTCCACGGTAGCATCCTTTTACAGCTGGAGACCAACATACTTGTTACTGAGCCAAACATCAGTGGCTAGAGATCTACTATTCCTTCTTCCAAAGATAAATCAAGCTGGGAAATATTTCCTTTCACCATGGGTATAGACCCTACATCTCGTCATGTGTGACATGAATTATTCAGCATTTAATTCAAATGCCATGACATTTTGCTAGTGCACAGAAGTCAGAAAATAAAATTTCAGTCTTCCTGTTAATACACTTTATCCATAGCCCTCAGCATGTAACTTCATCTGCACTATTAAATATTTGCTGCAGTTCAGAAATGCAGAATTGACTATATATATACAGACACATATACACAAATAAATCGTGTGGTCTTTCCACCTGCGAATTCCAACATAGACAAGACTGTCACCAAAAATAATGAAAATCAGATGTACCTAAAACCCCAAATTTTCATATGCTTGTTTGTTTTTTGTTTTTGTTTTTGTTTTTGTTTTTTTCCCAAAGAAAAAAGTGCCTGAAAGTGTATCCATCTACAAATCAGAGGGTGTTATTCAAAGGACAAGCTTCAGGGCCTCACTGTTCAGATTTCATTGGTTTGTGGGTAAATGAAATAAAACAATAGCAGTAGAAGAAACTTAAAATAGAATCAGAACCATTTTATTAACTCACATGAGAATATGTTAGGGGAAGTGAGTAGAAGGAGGGTCATTTTTCATTCCAATATAATTAAATTTAAATTTAGCAAGTGACTCAAACTGCAGCACTTTCCTGGAGCCCAAGAAAGGGAAAATAAAAATTGTGGTAGACCACTGTGCTGCTCACCATCTAACCTGAGATCAAAATGAAAAACAAACAGTCTGCATACGGTGTCTTTGTCACTGTTTAAAAATATTACTTTCTGTGGTAAGGGCAAGAAAGTGAAACTTAAGACATATGGAAACATGTTTTTCAAATTGGGCATTCTTCTTGTAAGATATTGATGTTGGTGGTTTCACTTTCCTTCAAAGAAAAAAGATCAACTTTTGCATCTAATAAGCAAAAATGAAACATATGAGAGAAAATTGAGAACTGATAGATGTGTGCAACTGATATAGCTTCTGCTATAATGTCTGAAATTGTCATTAGGCATATGAAGTACAGTGAGTTGCATTTTGGCACATCTTGTTTTATTTAAAAACTAGTGGAGCTGAATAATTCTGTTTATATGCAGCATCTCCTTTACTATATTGTAAACTTTGAATCGTTAAGCTACTGCTGTTATAGTTCATGTGTGAATTCTTTGGCTAGCCTACATTCCTACTGAACTGGGATAAATTTATGATATTATTTGTCATTCTCCATGTTTTGGTTAAAAAAAAAAAGTGGCCTTTTTTCTTGTACAGTAAACTCAGAGCGTATGCCTCAGGCAGTACTGTGACTGTAGCATTTGCAACCAAGTTTCAATTTGCGCTTTTGGAATGCCTTTACATTTTCTTATTCCATGTGCTTGAATCCAGAAGACGCTGGGTTATGTTTGGCCAGGTGCCCATGTAAAGAGCAATCTGAGCTGTAATCCCACGCAGCAAGGACGTCGCTTCTGCCAGCGGCTTTGCCTCATCAAGCGTACTCATGCCACTGCCACTGGCCCAAGCCCCCCGCGCTGCTGTGGGCGCAGTCAGTGCTGGCTGTCTCTGTGCCTGCCAAAATCCGGCATCCCTTTCACATTGTCCCCTCACATGTTTCGTGTCCCTCACCAGGGCACAGCTCTGCCCTCTGTGACCACAGCATTTCTGTGACGAGCCAGCTGCAGGACAGGCCGAGCCTTGTGGTACCCCTCTCCCTGCCGCCCTCAGCGGGGCTTTTGGTGGGAGGCACAACAATTCTTGCACAGCGGGGCACAGGTTGAGCCCCATCTGACCAGACACCGGCTCAGGGTCTAACCTCCTTTGGGACACCATGGTTTGCCTTTCAGATCCCCCATGAGCAAAGCAGACATGAGAGGACAGGCTTGGTACCTACCGCGCTCCCCACGCAGAAGGCAGAGGGCCACATGTCGGTCATGTTTGCCACCGAGATGTTGGCGATGAAGCCTGGAAAGCCCAACCAGACGCTGGATCTGAAGATCACACCTAAAGAGAAACATGTGAGTGCTTTCCTCCTGTCAGCGTGACCGGAGTCACATGAGGATGCCGGCTGCATGTTTTGCATTGCAGCCTGGATTTTGTGTGCTCACAACAAGGCTGCGGCTGCAGGGGAGCGCAGTGGGAGCGCCGCTGGGACGGCTCGCTGAGAGCAACCCTCAGGTCCGGGGGTCTCACAGTGTTATGCCACGTGGATTAAAATCTCACTTACCTGCAGATACCGCCACATGCTCCCCTAAAGTGAATCGGGCAGATTGACATGAACCATTAACTATTGATAATTTTACCCCCATATATTCATATCCTAACGCTCATTTCTCTACAATCTCTTGTTTCAGGAAAGTGTAATTTCACACTTTTCGCAGTCTTCATTTTTACAAGAGGCTCTTTTCCTCTCTGCCCAGGGACTGAACAAAGCAGGGCTTCACAATTAGCTGAGAATATTGACTTTTTAAATGAACTTCGTTAGTGAGATGTTATGGGTTTGCTCAAAATAGGCATCAAAGCACCCACATTCATTGTAACCAGCCCACCATGCTCCCCACCACATGCAAAGGGTTTCCCACCCATTGAAGTGAGCCTAATTCAGAGACAATGACAGATAAAGTTTGCCCGTGAAAGAGAAAGGGAGAAAAGTAACTTTACTGCTGGCCTCATCTGACTGAAAGGACCTTTTCCAGGTGAAAGCACGTAATGCTCTTTCCACATCTCTCTAAAGTTTCCTATTCATCATTTGCTTTAATATCGTTAATTTTATGTACTTTGAGAGAAGCTGGCTAGGTATGAAGGGGGAAAAGATGTAAAATCCTACTTCTTTCAGAGGCAGCCAGAGACACTTACAAAACAGTAATAATTCTGTTATCTAATGTGAGGGGAAAAAAAAAAAAAGTTATTGTAGAAACAACTCATCCTGCGTTTCCACAGCGTGTGGTGCTGTGATTCGTACCGACTTCGGCAGTAAATGCCAGGCAGATCTGGATGCATTATTTTTACACCTTGTCTCGTGCACACCAGGCAGCAGGGTGTACCCAGTAAGGGAGCTTCTCTCACTCCCCAAAAGCTGGCACTCGGCGCGAGCTGCATGGCTGCGCTTCCAGCCAGCCTGCTGTGCCCGGAGGAGTGGCTGGCATGTGAAGAGCGGCACAGACTTGGTCTGAGAGGATTTACGGACGTGGCAAGTGTTCTCTAAATACAGTCCAAAGGATCAGCTAAGTTTTGGAAGTCAGCTCTACTTTTAATTGTGTTCCCTCACCTCCGCTTCCACGCCTTTCTCTAAGAACCAGCTGGTTCCGGATTGTAATTTGTTTTGAAGTAGAGATTTTGGTGTAGATATGCCAAGAGCTTTTATTTTAAAATGTGACTATTAAGCAAGACCTTCTCCCCCCCAAAGGCCCGTCCTTTTCTGATCTCATTCAGCCCAAATCTTCCCAGGAATACAGGCAGGAGGTTTCCCTCAGACGTTTCCCTCTCGTCTGCCTGCTAACCGGCTCCTTTGGCTTGGGTACCTCAGAGCAACCAGAGCCTGCTACAGCAAAGGCAGGGGACATCAAGCTGGCGCTTACCTAAACCACCGAGGATGTCACAAACAGAGATAAGGAGAAGGATGGTGGTGGAGGAGGAGGCTTTGGGCATCTTCCGCAGGATCTGTCCCTTCTTTGGCAGGAGCTGCAGGACGGTCAGCAGCACGCTGACGGAGGCACTGCCGATGCAGACCCCGCAGAAGACCTCGGGCTGGAAGCTCATCACGAGCTGCGTGGCTGCATCCCGGTTCGGGCAGCAGTAGGTTTCTAAGCGGGGAGAAGCCATGAAGCGTCCGGCTGGTGGAGGGGGCCCACGAGCAGGAGCTGCTGTTGCTTCCCCAAGGCAGCGTGTGCTTTTTCTTCACCCTCCCCATTAGTCCTCGGTGGTGAGAATCACGCGATTGAGGGATCATGTGCTGCTGCTGCTGGAAGTAAATCCCCTAGAGCGGCCTTTCTCAGCCTCTCCTAGCAAGGAGATCAGATCAGAACAACAAAACACGGTGTAATCTGAAACATGCCCCATGCTTGCTCAGAGCCATTGGCAGGAGTTCACTCAAACATTTCTGCTTGCACAGTACGTGATACAGGAAGACTTAAACTCATCAGAGCACTGGAGATGGTTTAAAATGAATAAGGATGGAGATACCAAAGGAGAGGCATTACATTTTAATTGTATTTCATTTTAGCCCCATCCCACACATCACACTTTAATTACCGAAAATTAATTGAAAAGATGGGCCCAGACACAAGCAGTCCCCAGCTTTTGCAGGGAGGAGCAGGGCTATAAATCCACACCCTAACCCATATTTAAATTTTAGGGATCCAACCCACCCACCTCCGTAATTAAATTTAGAAGCAATACATCCTACCCCTGTAGAAAGAGATTACATTTAGGAAGCCATATTAACCTCATCGCATTTAAATCACAAGCTCACAAGCACAGTCTGTGCTGTTTGTGTTAGGTCAGTTTGACGTGGAAAATTCCAGGACTTTTGATTCCTCAAGAATATTTTTCTTTTCTTTCTTTTTTTTTTTTTTTTGGAATGGGTTTAATATGGAAACAGGAATTTGACCTGCAATGTTTGTTTTCACTTTATAAGCTAGACAATATCCTTTAGTCCTGTTGGACACAGCAGCATATACTCACAATCATAAATACAAAAATTAACTCTCCCCTCTCAGACACATTCAAATGCCCTGTGTCAGCCCCAACCCCTGCAGAAACTGTGTTTGTAGAAACACGTTCAGGAAAAAACAGGAGGGAGCATTGCCAGCATTGTTGAAGTGAACTGGATGCTACATCACACAGTCATGGATTTTATAATTAGTTCTTATAAGAACAAATGACCTTTTTTTTTTTTTTTTCATACAGCTATTTATTTTTTTAGCAGAAATTATTACAGCTGGATGAATGACAGTGGCATGCTTTGTGTGCAGGGGTCACAGAACTCAGTGGTTTCAGCCTCTCTTGGCAGAAAGAAGAGCCTTGCAGGGAGGCAGGCAGCAGGGCTGGGGCTGGTGCCCACACTCCCCAACACACCACGCACCCATCACCTGCTCCCAGAGGGTTCCTCCAACTCTGCCAGCAATACAGCACCCACAGAGCAGGATGCTAGCTTGCAGACCCAGGTGTCCACGCATCAGGGAGGTGTCCCTGCTCCTGTCAGTGTTGATCACAATCTTAGACAGCCAAGTTCAGAGTCTGGGCTTAGTCTAGAGAGCTGTTAACCTTTTCCTGACAAAAACACACACAGTGAGCTGAATCACTGAGCAGGCTTTGCTGAATGTAACAGGGTCTTAGGCATACCCTACATTAAAGACTCCCACATTCCAGCAGCTGAGTTTGAAGCTGAATGCTATCTGGATGTTTTTGCAGCTTTCCAGCACACAGAGATTTTCCTGCTCCACAGATGAGGACAGGTGAGTGATCCAGATGTTGTGATCCTATGTTTTGCTGCTACCACAGGCACAGAAAGTATTCTGGAGACAGCAAGGGTGCGAACCAGATTGCACTGCTCCAAAACACAAATTCTCATTGAGGTAAAGGAAAATATTTATGCCCTGCTGTCAGTACAGGAGTGGGACTCCTCGGACGTCAGTCTATCTCCGACGAGCAGCTGTGCATGGAGTTGCCACCTCTCTGTCAAGGCAGTGCATTGCAATCTACCTGGCTAGCTGTGTTATCAGTAAGGGTAACATGAAGTGCTCTCATTTTTTTTTCCTGCAAACCACTGCCTAGAAGCCAAAGTCAGCAGCTTCATTTTCAGGCAAAATTTCTGGTAAATTTATGGTAAATGCTAAAAACTGGTTTGGAGGAAAGTACTAAAATAGGTTCAGAAAGGAACAAGTTCCTGGGCTACTGAAGAATAAAAAGATAACACAGAGACATAATTATTTAAAATAAAACCATCATATACCACATATACAATGCAAATAAATGTATATTAAAATAAATGATGCTTGCTCTCATTTGAAGATTAATTTATGTAGCCTGATCTATGCTTGGAATGGCATGACTTTTAGATTATTAGGCAGAAAGTGAAACTGTTCCATGGAAGCCTTTCATTGCCACTATCATCTTCTAAAAATGTTTCCCTCGCTATTCCTGTTGTCATTCTCCTTCCTTTAAATGTTTAAAAAGCGTGTCAAGTTGTTATCCTGACCATTTGTTCTGGCTTCCATAAAGGAATGTTTGGTGTGTTTTGCTTTTTCTGCTTATCATTTGTTTTCACTGATCCCGGCTGTGGTTTTCTAGTTTGCCCTTGTGGATTTACCATGTCATTATTTTAACTTCTTTCTCCCTTTTGTTCAGCCACCTTGAAATTACTTGCATTCCTCAACTGTAGACTTATATTGTGGAGGCTATTATTTTATATCTTTCTCTCCTTTTCTTTCCATAATGTTGCCAGCCATGCACCTTATTTTTATTCTTTGCTTCTTCAAGTGGATGATTGCTTTTTATCTTCTTCTTCTGGGTCCCTTTCCTCCTACTCTCTCAGGATTTGATTATGCTGTTACTTACGGAGCGATTCTTGCACTGCTCATTTTTATTGGAAGCAAAGAGTGTGACCTGTGGAATGACAAATACCAAAAGAAAATAAAGTGACTCAAGAGTGAACAGATACCTGCCACGACACAAGCAGACGTGTCTTTACATGGGGACAGCCGAGGCTATATGGGAGATGGATCTGCCAAATCAATGAACTGTTCAGCCTCTTGGCTGGTAAGATCTAGCTAGCCTGGCCCTTGCTTCTGCACTCGAAGTATAAAGAGTCAGAACAGTCACAGAAATTCAAAGCTGGTTTGGCAGTCTTATACCTGAGATTACTTTGGCTTCTCGTGATTATGAAAATAAGAGGATAAAAGCCAGGGCCAAAGGCAAAGAAAAGAGAAAAGCAACAAAAGAAAGTAAGAGAAGAGTTATTTTGTCTTGTTGAGGAATATTTATTTAGAATTTAGTACAGCTTCAATCGTTCTATAGGTTTCAGTTCCCTTTCCTCTGAAATAGGGTTCCCCTGACGGAATTACCCAATTACTCAATTACCCAAATGCTGTAGCTTGAAAAGAAACATTAGCACACCTATATAAACCTTAAAAAAAAAAAAAAGGTGTTGTTAGAACCAAACAGAGGCACAGAGCACGTTCAATGTTGCACAGTACTAAAAATTCCAGCCTGTTTTTAGACACCCATAGCCCTGTGTCTGAGAATGAGACAATAATACTGCACTCCTGGCAAGAAGAACACACGCACAGCTTTTAGAAGTACCCACTCATGCTCTCCTTGGGCCTGGGAAATGACGCTTCCCAGGTACAGTCCACGTTCGTCGTTAAGATGAAACACTGGCTTGTCTGGCTCTAAAGCAAAACAATAGGTTTACAAAAATATGTCAGACATGCGTTTCTGCTGCAAAGGAGTGTGCTACAGCTTATGCGTGAGTATGCAGTTACAGGTATTTTAATCACTGTCTTAATTAAGTCTGGGACTACAGCACTGCTTTAAAGGCAGAAGAAAATGTTTGCATATAGAGGCAGAGGAGAACTTTATTTGTTTCTGTGTACAGTTCAATGCATCTCTGCCTCCATTTAAAGCTTCCAATAAAGATCTTAGCTACCTTACAAATGTGAAAAACATATTTTGTCAACGGTTCACGATCTTGTAGTCTTTGCTTCTCCTAAACACACTACCTCACATAGCATTTCCTAAACGGATGAAAGGTGGGCCTGTCTTCAAGCTGAATGGATGCGATAAAACCAGTTATGATCTTCCCAACAGATCCTGCCATACATTCTCAAGGCCTGAACATGTAATTCTTCTATGTGCTCAGCACAGTTCTTTATCTGCATAGACCTGCAGCTTCGTAAGAAACTGGACTACTTTTCACAGTAAGATATGTCCTTCCCATTATTATCAGCACTCATTTTTAAAGCTATTTTTAAAGCGGCATTTCTCTCAGTGCCTAACTGGAACGAATGGGGAAATTCATACCCCATTGTTTCTGTTTCAAGTTTTCTGTAAATTTAGGCAGGAATATCAGAACAACAGTGATATGCACTGTAACGTGCCATGACTGTAACAGCCACAGATTCCATTAAAAAGAACTGGAAGAAAAAGAGAGGTATCACCTCCCTTCCCTCAGTGATTTGAATGTAACTACACAGGTGTAAATCATTAGTTTATATTTAAGGATGGTGAACATTAATTTAAAAGGATGAGAATGAATGTATCTCTTTTGCATAAAAATAATGTTTGAGTTTTTTGTTTTCTTTAAGAATAAAAACATAAATACACAAGATGAGTTCATTTGAACAGTTAAATAATTGTGCGTACTTGACTGATGAAATCATGTTATGTATATTTTATTGTTTCTTTTATACCTTCTCCAGAAGAATGTTATCCTACCTGGTTTTGTGAACAAGCATACACAAATTTATTACTGAAACCGTGCCTCTTTTGCATTAAATTAGTAGACAATGTTTATATGGATGAAATATAAAGTAGCCAAATGGAAAAAAATGCATCCATAAACCAGGAGGAAAAAATTTTCTTAGGGTTTGGAAGAACAAAATCCCCACTTCTCTATGCCAATGTTGAGCACATTACAGACTTTGAACTTCCATTAAGCTAGATTTTGTGGCCACATTTCTGGAGAAATTCCACCATTAATCACTGTCATCTTCATAGAATAAAAAGATACCTCCTTTTCCATGTACACGCAAGAGACCTTGTCCCACACCTACACAGACTATACAAGACACAGTTTGCATGGGAACCAACTGATGAAAGACTGTGAAAAGGAAGAATATTATGCTTTCCGCACAGAATGATACTGAATATTGGACTTGTTATAAATATTTACCTCAATAATTGTAAGCCTGCAGATGGTCCACTAAGATGTTCAGTGTCTATCCTGTCCCCAGTATGTTTAGAAGGTATCCCAGGCACCACTATTTCCATGATCTTTTTCAGAAGTTATGTTAGTTGGTTCCATCAGGAGAAATTAGGTGGGATATTCTTATATCCTTGTTATGATCACTACACTGTGGGATCTCATTAGGTTATATCCCCTGCTACCAAAAGTTAAACTTCCACAGCCCATTAGCACAAGAAAACAACCTCAAAACCTCTGTTCCCAGGCCAGCCTATGTAACCAAATCAAAATATCGCTCTAATTTCATAGCTCTTACAACGCAAAAAAAGTCTCCAAGGACCTGTTAATGAAATCACTAAAAATGTCAGCATACCGTGGTGCCATGGCCAGATAGATGGTCTTGGTGAACACCATAACCAAACGTTGAAGGAAATTCTGGCAGTCCAAGCACACAATCCAGCTGCAGACCATAGGGTCAATTCCATTCTTCGGGACTGAAGATTACAGCTTCATTGTCAGAGGTGGACTTCCCAGACAAGGGTAGACAGAGGAATGAAACTAACTCCTCGGCACCCAAAGTAGCTTACTGGGTACACTGATCTGGTGGGCAATAGGGCTACACCACCCATTTATGTCATAGCCTGGCTCCTCAGATATGCCCATTAGTCAGCATGCTGGGAGCACAACCACAAATAAAATTGTCTGGTCCTGAAACTGCTTCAGAAAATGGAGTGTTCTGAAAGAAATACTCCGTATTTCAGACTTTCAAAAGAAATTAACCTTTGGGGTTGTAACAGGAGCTGTGTTCTCATGGAAGATGGGCAATAAAAATAAGCCCCTCAACCTGTTTCCCCAGGACATTACTGACAGTGCCGTGAGTAAATGCTGCACTGTAGACAAAATCGAGGTTAATGAAGCAGTACCTCCCACAACAGCCTTAAGTCCAACATAAGCCAGGAAAATGTTGAAATCTGAGTGTTGACACCATTTCTCATTTGCATGACTCAGAAGGATCTCCACAAACCTCCCAACAGCAGCTACCTTTTTTGCCTTAGACTCTGGAGAGAGGAGAGCACGTCTGTGCCTTTAGCACAAGAGCGTGACAGCCGATGGGGAAGTGGCATGCACAGAAAGAGCTCCTGACCGTGCGGACTCACGGGCATGCTCAAACTGGCCTTATATCAGCCATAACACTGCCAGACTCCTGTAAAATCACAGCCGGTTGTGCATACCTGATGTCTGAGGGCAACCTGCTGCAGTGCTGCAATTCATGAGCACTCACTTTGTGCTGCATCCGTGCTTAGATGTACGGTCACTAGATGCTGCATCCTAAGACTTCCACCTGGACACGGTTCAAGTTCCCTGTAACCAAGCAGAGAGTAGAAAGGTCATTTGTAATGAAGGAATTGGGACTATTTATAGAACGCACGGAGAGATTTATTTACACGTCGCTGATAGGCAGAAAAAGGGAAGGTCTGTTTGGGGTTAGCTAGCAAATGAAGACAAAGTCCAAGTGAAAAATAGCAGATTACGAGGCTTTTGTCTGCTCTCATGCATACTCTGGCCTCTTGCTATTTATCTACCCTTTAACAAGCTTATTTCACAGCATTCCCTGAACAAAGAGCATTTGAAACTCTCTTTTTGGCACTTTCCCTGTTCGTCTCTGCTCCAGTGGTCATCTTTGAGTACGAAATTTAGATATAAAATGTTGTGGTATCGGAGTTTAAATGCTTTAAAGTCTGCTTGTTAGCCTCTGAGACTACGTCACTCAACTAATTGAAATGGGCCAGTGCCAATTTTAGTCCACATACAAGGCCAAGCGACACAGCACCGTTTGTATGGAGAATGTCACTACATGACGTGCCATCAAAGAGGATGGACGATGAAAAACATTTTTTAATGTACCAAGATCAGAAATGCAGCAGCAAGAATGAACGTCACCAATGATGCCTCACTGAAATGATGGCACTTAACGAAGCAGGACTTCTTGATGCAGCTGTAACCCACACATACATATAACCAAAATATAGCTATATAACATACACATGTGTACACATACACTGCTGAAACTCTCTTCCCCGCTGAAGAAGTCTGTCTTCATCTGCACCGCCTAACAGTAGCTGCTCCATGCTATCCCCCACAGCGTGTTGCCCAGTTAGCATGCTAGCAAAGAAACAGCACGGACAGCACGGACTGTCACGTGCCAGTGCCTGAACCTGTGTGCTCTCACCCTGCTGTTTAGTTTGCTTGTGAAGTTGTAGCCTGATATCCAGTAACACGATTTGACAGAGGGCTCCAGTGCAGGAACTGGAAAAGGAGCAGGTATACAGACACCAGAGGCACTCTGGCCCGAGGTATGACTTAACTTGTGCCTGAATTTGACTGTCAGCTGAAAACCCCATCCCTAGGGAAAATGAGTTACCTGTTCACCTCCTGCTAGGCTGTATGTTGCCTTCTGACTTTGCTACCACATGACGAGTTGCTATTGCCCTTTTCTTTGACTTCTGATTTTGTTATCATGCAAAATCATGAAAATGTTAAGTCCTGAAGCATGCTATGGATTATAGAAGTCAGCACCGGTTTCATTTTTCTCTGCCTACAGGTCTAATCAGTCTCAAGATCTAAGCCAAGAATATTTCTATTAGCAAATCATGTGCTTTCTTCTCTTGGTCACCCACAGCCACGGTTTGTTCCACGGCTTTCCATCTAACCCTCAGCAAGCTGCTCCGAGGCACAAGGCATTTCTGGTGATGTGCTGCTCACATTCCCCCCACATGGTAGGGAGCAACACTGTGGCAGCAACAGTTGGCTGCAAAGGGCATGCTCTCCATTACAAGACTTGCTTGAAATTACATCACTGGGCCATACATCTGTCATTTTTTCCTTTTCTTTTATTTTCTCCTTCCTTTTATAATCTGGCTACCCAGCAGATGCAGGTGTGAAGGGTATGCAAGCATGCACTGGGTGTGAAGGCAGAGTGCAAGGACTTGGTGGTGCAGTTCATCACATGGTGCATTTTGTCAGGAATTATACAGGAGTCCGGTTATCCAGCCACTTTTAAAGTTATTCTGGAAGTGCCTGTAAAGGGCCGTGCTACATGGCTTCCTGAGACTGCTCCAAAGCTGGAAGATTAAGGCATTGTGAAGAGGAAGAGTTATACCTCTATCAGTGGACTTGTGCACAGGTATGTAGCTGGGTACAAACATCTTTTCATCCCGGCTTAGTGTTCTGCACACACCACTTGGGTGCGCCACTGCTGTCCATATGAAGGTTTCTTCTCCCCCGATGAAACCAGTCTGGAAACTGTTCTCTACGGGTCTTTGACAGCAGGAGTGTTACAGGACCGTGCTGATGCAATCTGGGGATGCAGTGCCAAACAAAAGGAGTCCAGCGAGTAGGCTTGAGCTATGCCTCTGACTGCCCGTGCTCTGTGCTGCTCACTGCCTGCCTGCTCTGCCTTTCCAAGACCGGTCTGTTCCAGTGGAGATCAGCTGCAAGAATAGTGGGAATCAAGGCAAATCTGAGTTAGTTGCCACTGAAGCAGATCAGTCCCCTGGGTCTCTTCTATTCAGCATTACAGGTAGAAACATGGAGACTTTCCCCTCCCAGATTTATCCCCGCAGCTAAGACACAGATGTTGTAAAAATCCTGGCTTACTGTCTCAAGATCCAGCATTTTGAGTAAGAATTGAAAAAAGTTTGAATCAAAAAAACGTTTTGAGTATAGGTATACCAGAATTTCATATGAAATGCTAGTCTTTCACAAATTTCAGCTTTATAAAAAAGCCCGAGGAAAAGAACACAAAACTATTTTTCGGTCCTAAAGAACTGAAGAATTCAACATATATTTGAGCATTTATCTGAAAGGTTAAGGACTTCTAAAGGTTTATTCAGCACTAATTATGTGCTGATGAAGCCTCATTTGCAATACAGGAGGAACAAGACACACTTGGGAAAGGTTTTAAAGTGTCTAAATCACAAAGGAGACATCCAGCTGGAGTTTTTCAACACGGTATTTTTCATTCTGGGAAAAGGGGTAATTTGTTGAAATCAAAGTGTTCAGCAGAAGAGCATGATTATGCTGAATCCATCAGAAGGAACATGGCAGGTTTCCAAAGTAAACCCTCCCGGTTTCCAGCTATGCCAGGATGTCTGTCTCTTGGGCTGCTACACAACCTGTTTCTCCAGGTTCTCAGGACTTTCAGACTCCACAATAAACTGCCAGCAGCTTGCCATCCCTTGAATTACTTTATCAGAAAACAAAACAAAACCTTCTGCTAGAGGAAATTCTTATCACAGTTTCAGTTATTTTGGTCTTTGTGATGGTTAGTTTCAAAGACACTAGATTTTCACCGTATGTTTCACTAAATGTCCCCTTGATGTTATATAGGAAGGATCCTTTTCCTCCTCATGCAATATATGTACAGTTTCAACAGCTACATAACAGATTGCTGTGCCAGGGGAATTGACATCTATAGAGACCTCTTTGGCAATAAGAGAGGCACGTCCATAACTCATGCCTTGTAATCTGTTTTTCCCCTCAAGTCTGTCAGCACTCTCACTGGATTCACAGTGTTCTCACAAAGCTCTAGCCTTTAGGAAAGCAGGTGGTGAATCCTTCATTTTCACTACAGAGACCGAAGTACAGATACATGTCTATGTATCAACATTGCTTCTGCCACTGGTGACTAAAAGCAACAATGCAACTGACCACATGGAAGAAGTGGTTGGCACCATCACCAAACAGCGAGGCATTTAGGCAGATGGCACTGAGGTTGTGGACGAGTCTGCTCAGACTCTTTGCTGGAGGTCTTCTCAGCTGCCCCATTTCACAGCTCAGCATCTTAATTTAAATTGTCGCTGAACTGTGCATGTCCTAAGGCATCAAATCTTTATTTCAAATGGCTGAGGCACTTTGTCTCTTCATCCAACTGTGATGTTTGGTGGTAAGCTCCAGGAAAGCTGTGATAACAAACAGAGGGTGGTTGTAAAGGCATAGCTCACCTCAGGTCTGTACTCTGCAGCTATGACTTCTTTCAAATATCTCTGCTGCTGGAAAAAGATAAACAAACAAACAAACAAAAAACTCACAAAACACTTGGCATTGTAAGGTCAAGCAAAATGAATGCTCTTAACGTGGAAAATCAAATGCCTATTCTAGTAATTCTGCAGGTATCCTGTGCAATTCAATGCCTTAAGGAAAAGATAACGTGTCTCATAGCCATAAAAGTGAGATAGGCTGTGTGTTTACAACATACTGTGGTTGATACTGTCTTTAAAAAATCCTGCTATAGAGGAATTTATGCACAGTTTTGACAGTCTCAATGGCTAAGTAGGGAACATGTACGCAATCTGTGCAACAGAAAGAATGAAGGCATGGTAAACTCCGTGGAACAAAATTTCACTTGAAATGGTTAATTAAACTTCAAGTACCAAGGTCTGCACAGAAGTACTGTGGAAGGAATCTGTTTTATTGCAGAAGGCTTTTTTTTTTTTCAAACTGAGTTTGTGGGAACCATGACTTAATAAAGTTTGATAGCTCCTTGTGCATGGCAGGAGGAGGCATTTGGTAAGTTTTGTTCATCACTGCAAAGTAGCTTTGATAATATTAATAACATACATGATTACAGAACAGAATACTGTTATACAACATCAGGCATAGACACATTATTCTCTGTCCTCGGCATGAAAAAGTCTGTCACTTCCCTCCATACCTTTATGGCCTCCTAATATATCTTTTAATTTGTACCTTGTATTACTAACATTTGTATATTTAGGCAACACTTGACAAGTGAAAACAAGATTGAAGAGAAATTGCTTAGAGACTTCCAGGGTTTTGTTAGAAAACACGGCTATCATTAGCATAGTTATCACTCAAATGAGAAGTAGTATTTTAGAACATATTTACTGAATCCTTTGTACTTTATGACTAACTGAAACCCTATGAAGGGTGACAAGTTACAGAAATCAAAGTAATCAAATTACCACAATATTTTAAGAAGAGCACAAATACAGCTCTCCAACAGGGTTCTGAACAAGCTTCAAATCCCACAGAGAAGGAGGATATAAAAGGTGTGAAGAAAAATCTGACTGATATGACAGGAGGACTTATGTCTTGCTTTGGTCTGGTAGAACTTACAGGTATGAGGAACTTCATATATGGGTCTCTTGGCTTTCAATCGATAACATTAAAGGAGAAAAGGGAAGAAAAACTCTGTTATGGAGAATAAAGAAGTCTGATTTCTGAGCTGTCAGCCACAGGATCCACTAGAAGAATGACTGTCAGACCCTCGGGCTCTAAGCAAGTGTTAGCTAGAAAATGGTTCTTTACTGAGGTCTCCTGTAATTAGGAGCATGAAAGCTTTCAGATAATTGTTCTTTAGGCAACTGCTTTTCAAAGAGCTATACATGTCCCCATCATCCACTGACATAAATGACAGCAGCAGAGTTTGAATATTTCCACTTGGATTCTCTAGTATAGATACCAGTTCCTGACTCTAAATACTCCAATTGTGAAATCTTCATTGTTCTTCAATACTGGACTTATAAGACCAAGTCAAGAAGGCAGAAAAGTATTGCAAATCTTTAACTTCTTATGGACCACAAAAAGTTCAAGATGAAGAATGAATGTTTGGCAGTTGAAGGTTAGGGGACACAACCAAAGAAGACATTTCTGGCAGCACAGTTTATTTGTGTATGATGTAAACTATTATATTTCAATTTCATTTCAATGTGTATTAAAGCTCAAATTGTTATTGTGGATCTTTCATCATCACTTGTACTGTGTTCTTATAAACAACTAAATTATACACTGCAGCTCTTTAAACGTTTTTTGCTATAGGTTATTGAGTATATGTTGCTGAGTGGACAACTCGATATGCATTGTACAAACATAACTGAAGACTTTGCCTCAGACTAAAAGCACAACTGAAGACAGGATACAGAGAAAATTACACTGTGTTTTGTTTAATTCGTCTTATAAACAGCATTTGTCCACATAGTAAAAAAGAATTAAAGAAGAAATCTGAATGAGGATCTGCAAGTTATTTGAGGCCTCACATAGCTTCATGCAATACATAAATTTGGTACAAGGTTTGGATTTGGCAGGGTATTTATCACAAGTCTGTGTAACTTTGTGCCATTCAAGTCCCTTTTCCCATGGTTCGTTTTGCACCTTGGTCATGAGGGAACATCAATCACCCTAACCAAGTATTTCTCTCCTATCCATACATCCTCCCATCTGCTACTGGGATCAGATGCTCTCAAATCTGAAACCAAATTTTTTGGGGGTATTACAGAACTGTACCACAGATAATATTGAAACAAAATGTTGTCTTTAGAGCAAGGCTGGAGTTTTCTGAGGAAATACACTGAGTTTACCCACCGCTGGAGGAAAACAGCTGAAGCAGCAGCTAGTGGGTCGCAATGGCCACTTCCAGAAGCAATGTATGTAAACATGTATTACAAGACCTTGAAATCCCACTGTTTATGCTGTGCACCTCCCTGAGACTGTCACATGTGGACATATCTTAAGGTTCATCAGTCTTCCAGAAAGCAAAACATAGATTTTCCTGCATATCTTAGCTAGTATTTCACCTGTTTGGTTGAGAAGCAAATGGTGATTGCGTGCTGGTACTCAAGCATTCCAGGCCAAATCCGGTCCTAATTTCAGCCACTGAAACCTCATATAAGGTGACGCAATTAAGCAGGGAGAATGAAGTCTAGCCAGAGATAAGCACATCACTCCCAGCCCTAACTAACTCGGTGAGGACATCAGGCAGCCCCAAACCCTGCTTTTATCCCCCACCCACAAAATTGTCCGAAGATCAGCGCCTTGAATCCTGCCTCGCTTTTCCGCATCAAACTTTTTTTGTCAGTCTTTGTGCAGGTGAGCTGATGGGACCGAGGAGTTTGTCGTTTCGGGTTGTTTTGGCTGCTTGGTTGGCTGAGGCAGGGGCCTTGAGTCGCCTCACCTCACCCACCAGCAGGTCCCGGGGAGGCAGCGGGGCGGGCCCCCAGCTCCTCCGGCCCCACAGGTGGCGGAGCCGCTCCGAGGCGGGGGAACGGCGGGGAAGGGCCCCGGGCAGGCGCCGCCCTCGGCTGCCCCCCGCGGCCCTCCCGGCGGCCGCCCGGGTTGACCTGTCCGCCGTGCCCGCCCCCCTCCGCCTGGCACCGCGGGGCCGGAGCGGGGCGGCCGCGCTCCTTCCTCCCTCCCTTCCCTCCTTCCCTCCCTCCACCTGCTCGCTGCTTTTGTCTGGGGACGGACGGGGCGAGGCACAGCCCCTCGCCACCACCACCACCAGCACCGCACCGCCTTTGTCTGGCCGCTCCCCGCTCCTCCTCCTCCTCCTCCTCCTCCTCGGCCGCGGGGGTCGCGCTGCGGGGCTGCCCCTTTGGGGCGCGGGGCGAGGAGGGGAGCAGGCGGCGGGCGGCGGGGTCGCGCTGCTTTCGGGGCGAGAGGGGGGGGAGCCTCCCGCGGGCGTCCCGCCGCCAAGTTGCCGCAAGTTGGAGCCGGCCCCCCGCTGCTGGGCTCCGGCCTCGGCGTGAGACAATACAGCGGGCTGCCGGGAGGAGGAGGAGGAGGAGGAGGTGGAGGGAGGGCGGGGAAGGAGGGAGGGGGCAGCCCGCCCGCCGCCGATGGGGCCGGCGCTGCGGGGCGGCTAGGGGGCTCGGCGGGCTGGCTGGCCCCGGGGAGCGGCCGGCAGAGGCAGCGGAGCCCCGGCCCCAGCTCCGTGCTCCGTCCCCGGCTCCGTGCCCGGCCCCGGCATGGAGGACGTGGGGCTGCGGAGCGGGCGGGAGCGGCTGCCCGGCGGCGACCCGCGCCTGGGCGCCGCGCTGGTGGAGCCGGGGCCGCTGGTGGTGATGGTGGAGCCGCGGGCGGCCGAGGGCTACCGGCTGGTGGAGGTGCTGCTGAGCGGCGGGGCGCCCTGGGGCTTCACCCTGAAGGGCGGCCGGGAGCACGGCGAGCCCCTCATCATCACCAAGGTGAGGCGCGGCGAGGGCAGGGGGGCTCCGGCCGCCTCCATGTTGGGCGCCGGCAGCGGGGGCAGGTGCTGGTGCTGCTCTGGGGGGCTCCCCGGCACCTCGCCCCTCCGCCGGGGGGGCTGGGGAGGGCAGGGAGAGGGGCTGGGGCAACAGGTGGCAGCGCCAAGGCAGCCTCGCAGCTCGGCTTCAGCTCCGAGGGCGCAGTGTGCTGCTGCACAGCCCCGCAGCCCGAAGTTACATCCCTGTTTGTGGTGGGGTGCAGAGATTGGCAGGGTGGTGGGGGCCCTCCCGGCTCCATCCGTCTGGTGGAGGAAGGAGGGTGCGAGGCTGAAGCCCCCCGGTGCTGACCCCGGGCTTCCTCTGCTGCTGTTGCCCGAGCAGAGCAGCGAGGGTGACCTCCTGCATCCCAGCCCTCCGAACAAAAGGTCTTGTGGATGGTGACCAAATCCAGAGACCGACCGGGAGAGGGAGGCTCCTGGGTAGGTATGCGCTGCTTTTCGTGGTGTTTTTTAGTGCCCTTTTATACTCGCAGGTCCAAGCTGTGTGTATTGGGCATGAGTTAAAATGATCCGTCGTGTTTTCTGGGAAACGTTTTTCATCTGGGTGTGTTTTGACTCAAGGATCCCCGTCCCAATAGCTGGTGGGTTTTGTTAAGAGGGCTTTCTTGTCGCGCAATCAAAAACACATTAAAACGGATCCATGTGGAACTGAGAAAAATCCACATTAGAAAAACATTTTGCTCAAGAGTTGTAGGAAATATATGCGCTTGGCCTACAGGTCCGGTGAATTCTGCTTGTTCTCATTTTGGAAGTACATAAAGAGTGTCAGAGGTCAGCCAGTCCTGCTTTACCCACAGCAGGAATTATTCTGTTCTTACTTCTTTTTAGCTTGTTTCAATGAGGGCTTTCCAGTTGGTTCCCTTCTTCCACTCCTGGTGATATTTTACTGATGGCTCTCCAAGTTAGGTCTTTTTAGATCAGCTTTTTCTAGGTCTCTTCCCTACT